ATATATATATATATATATATATATATATATATATATATATATATATAACAAAATGTCTCTTAGAAAGTAAGTGTTTAAATACTAACGTACATAATGTATTAACGATGTATATATAAGCTACTCTTCTACCTATTGTTGTTAATCGAACAAACATTACCGTTTCCTGTTATTAACTGCAAACAACAACTGTACAGCTGCCGAAGTAGACACTAATCACATACATATACTTATATATTATTTGCAGTTCAGGAATATAATACAAATATCCGATACTGATGTTTTTATGTATAAAGAGTTCTAACAATAAAACTACACTGAATACCTAAGCTGGTAATACGAAAAGTGAAATTCAAATAAATTGTACGTGAATGTTGATTTTTAAAAATTTCAATTTAATTATTTATAAAATAAAATATCAGATTAATTAATAAAATTAATGTAATGGAAAATGTACGAAATATTACAATCATAACAAATAAACTGCGTTATATTTAGTCATTAAATTATTCTTTTGGTATTCCTAACCGATAATAATATAAATAACACAATACATAAGAATAATTTTTTATAAAAGAATAACTCTATAACTTTACCTAATTTATCAAAAGATACCAAAAGGTTTTAAATTTAATCATACAGTTGTGTACGTTTTTACGTTGTTATACGGAGCGCCCGTGATTGGACTACAATTCACCTTTTTTTGAAAAGGTATACAGTAAGCGAGCCACTAAAATTCTACGTTTATATCTAGTAGACCCGGCCATTAAAATTGTACTACTATACATCAATAGATACTGATTTACTTGAATTAAAAGATATAAATCAATTACGTAATACTATACATTGAGCTCGATGACAAATTTTACCTATATTACCAGAAAATATTGAAGTATATGACTATTTAGAAACAAACGATAGTATTACCAACACCAAAAATTATAATTTTATTATAAATTTATAATTAATATTTATTATTTGACGATTTTTATTTTTATTTATAATAAAAATAATAATAATTAATTAATAAACATTACATATCCATATAAATCGTATATTTTTGAGCTATACTTTTATGACCCAATCTGCTAATAGTAAAATGTAAACAAATATTTTATACGAAGCAGATAAATAAAATCTAGCCCAATTACCGACCATCCAATATAAGTTGTAATAATTTCAACTACCTAAATTTTAAAATAATAGTTATTTATTTTCTAAGCGACACTATGAGTTATCATGCGCTTATAAAATTATGCTATACACACTGGCAAATCATTTGTCGGTAGCTATAATTTAATACTTCAAACCCTGCTTAAACTGTATTAAAGGTAATACTATTTCATACAGTTTGACGCTCCACTATACTCCGGGCACAGCCTTGGCCACTTGGGATTATGTATATTGTTCACTATATAGGTAACTTGGATATAAATAAAATACTAAAATAAAACACACACACCCATTCATAACATAAATAGTATAATATACACCCACACACACACACACACACACACATATATATACGTATAGGCACATACTTCTTTGTTTATTTATGTTAATTTACATGCCACAGTTAATACGGATTTAGATTGATGTAATAAGTAACATACAAACATTTCATAACATTAGCAGCAAAGCAATGCATATTATGTAATATTAAACAAAATCTATAGTCACTAAAATCTATAGTATTTAGCTAAAACGCAATAAGATTTACATGAAAATGGGTATTAGCGTATTCGGCAAAATTGACTGCTAAAGTCAAAAAATTATAATACAGAGTTCAAACCACTGCTGTTAGTACAAAAACAAATATTTTTTTGATCGTTAACCTATTGAATTAGTTGGATACTATTATTTATATATTATTTTAATTTATAAAATAGTCGAAAAAAATGAATACAAATATTGAATACCTAAGTACCCAACAATTATCGTAAAGCTGAAATAATCTTACCCACTCTCTCAATAAAATGAATAACAAAGTTTGTAAAATATGGTTTTAATTTTAATCTGTATAAACTGTAATAGTATATAATTAAACACTACTAATTAATTATTATTTCAATACAAGTTTATAAAGGTGTTTTAATGTGGTTTAATCATGTAGGCTCCAAACCGTTTGGTAAAAACCTATTTAAAATGATAGCCGTATTTATTCTATTTTCATCTGAAATTGTTCGATAATATATATTTACATGTTGTTATTTTTAAAATATATTCCATAATCCTAATCATAGTTTTAAATTATGTAATACTTGTTTTTACTTATATACTATATTTATTCGAAAAAATAAATAAAAGCAAATGTAAATTAAAAATTGTTATTTAATTAGATATAATGTTTGTCATCTCTGAGAATTTAAAAATGTAAGTTATGTTGCTCGAACAACATCTTATTGTACACATAATTTAATTTAAAAAAAAATAATATATAGTGGGTCAAGTAATTTTACAATACGTATATTTCCTAGTTGATTAGTTAATTTTTGTTCGACATATATTGCTCATTGACAATATAGTGTTTAAACTACTGAAGTACCAAATTCAATTTTTAATGGATGTACACTCACAAAAAAAAAAAAAATATTCGTAAATCATAACACACAGAAACGATAGTAAAATATATTGTTTATACAGGTATAATTCAACAATCGAAGGAACGAAAGGTAATAAATATTATCCCGTAGGCCTGCTCATATTATTAACTGTAGTTTATATGTATAAATAAAGATAAGTTAAAGCCAACAATCAAGAATATTTTAAGAAAACTGAAGTGAAGAGCAAAACATAACGTCGGTTAGTCGGTACCAGGGACGGAATAGAGCACTGATGTTTCGATATGTCTACAAATTACAAACAAACATGCCAACGTCATCGAACTCACGCAACATTCCGTTACATAAATATTGCATTTCCAATTTTCCAAAAGTTAAAAAATAAAAAAGTAAACATGACACAAAAATAAATACCGGCACACATTTAAGGGATGTGCTCTATATTCAATAGTATTTGTTCCTCGTTTTAATAGTTTCGCTATGTATAATAATAACAATGGCAGGCAAAATACATATAGGTATTCAGTATTTGAGAGCTGTGATATTTTAGATACCTGTTGGTAAAAATGTCAGTAGGATTAGCGAACAAATACAAAATTACAGGAGTTCCTTACTATAGAATCACGTGAAAAGGACTATGTAACCTTTTTTTAAGTGTAATTCTCTATTTCCATCACACATCATTGTTCATTTTATCCTCTTTTTTTTGTAATCGAAAAAAAAAAATTAAAAATTGATCTTACATTTAAAAAAATACAAATATTTTTAAGAATACCTGTTCAATGGAAATTGAAGTGGATAATTCATAAATTATAGGCCACCGTTTAAATACTTAAGAATTTATAAATGTTCACAGTCGATAATTTTTATTAGATTACCTAACTATTTATAAAATATTCACATTTATAAAATTATGATTTTACTATTTGGACGACTTTCTTACAATTATAATAATAATAATACAATACTTAGAAGCAGAGCTTGAATAACTTGATGATTTAAGGAATATATCAATCAATCAAATATTTCTACAGACTTACTTAATTAAACCTTAACCACTTAATCGTGACATAAATACCGTCTCCATCTTATGTTCAATAATTATTAGTTTTCATTCATTGATGTATGGTATATCCTATAATACTTTAACTAATACTTAATAACTATTACGGATAAAATATCAATATATAAATTTACTAAAAGCTTTTTGAATAGAAAATTTTACAGATATAAATATGGTAAAAAAGGTATTTACATATATATAAATATTCACAACACATAAAATAATAATAATTTTATCATTTAATTGGTTTAATAAGAATTGACCACATTATTTAATTAAAATTAAAAAAATATATAATATTGTTTACTGAATTTTCTAAGGTAATTTGTATTTCAACACTATAAAACCAATTGATAACAATTAAGTTAATATTCAATATCCAACCAATCCCATGAAATTATTATTTAAAAACCCATGTTCAGAGTATTAGATTATTACATTTTATTCCATCAATTCTGGAAACTATTTGTTCCATTATACTCGTATACATTTTATTTAATTATTCATAAGAATGATGAATTTTTAACAATGTGTATTACACATGAAGTAAGTATATACACTTTTAACATTATGTTTTCGTATTTTATATTTATTTTAATGTTTTCAATAATGATTGTTAAAAATTAAAGTAGTATACTGATTCTTGATTAGTTAAATATGTATATAACTTATTCTTAAAGTAGTCATTTTTTATATAATCGTATTTTACTATCATATACGTTCGATTTATTAAAAATTATAAATAAATCACGGCACAAAGCTTGAAATTATCAATACTCGTACATCTCAGGTTCATTTTTAAATATTGTATTTTTTTTTTTTGTAATCGACCTATTTTTACAAACTGACCGATTAATCAAATGAAAATTTTTCTGGCCTTATAGTTATATATGATTTTAAATTTTCAGTTTTCAGTATAAATAAGGTCATTATAATACAACAATTGATCCAATTATTATTATTAAATATTTACATTGAATTTAAATTTATTGTTAAACACTTTAAATAATTAAAATAGTACATAGTACAATATTATCTGTATTATATTAAGTATTTAAATATTGATAAAAACAAATTTTACTTTAGATTAAAACCTAATGTACCTAATGTATAATATGTATTACGAGTAAAACTCGGACGTCCATACACTTAAAATTGCTGTAATATATATATGCATTTATGTATTAAGTTTTTACTTAGTATACATTCAAAATATGAGTGTGCACAAAAAAAACAAAATATATATTATAGCCAAATAAAAAAACACCAATATATGCAAAATAAAATGTATTTTAACTTTAATATTAAAAATTAAAAATGTATTGTAGATTATAAGTATTTAATTTTATATCATATTTTTTTAATATTATATACCTACTACCTAATTTACAAATATGAGCATTGTACTTTGATATAAGAGCTTTTCAATTTGATAAAACTTGAATCTAAAAATAGTTGAGACAAACACTGGTGAAAATGTATTATTTATCTACTTGTTAATTTTAATTGTTTTTTAAAAGATCGAAAATTGATTAAAATCATTAATTATAAATAGAATTTATAATCAATGCTGAAATATACATCTATATTTTTAAAATCCCTAAAATATACATTTAATATAAAAAACTATATAAAATAAAAATAGAATTATTCGATTAAGTAAGACATAAATCAAATTTGTATCCTTGTTCACATAAAATTGGATCAATAAAAAAAAAAAATATATGATTTCATAAACATCCGAAAACCTAATTATGAGTATAGAAAAAAACTGTAATGCGGAAATACGGTAAATATGGAAGTAGGCTGTAGCAATATAACATTGTTGTTCCACTTTATTTAAATCTGAGTTTTTTGTCATTTTTAAAATAACGCTATATGTTCTAATGACATGATTAAATACTGAATTTTCAGTGAAATTTTATTTCGAACAATTTTAACGAATTTAATGAATAAAAGTAAACCAAGAGGACTTTTTATTTTGCTATTAACTTTGAAAATCATACACTAAATTATAGTTTTTTATAAAAGATTTTGACAAAGCCAAAAATTCGTTGGGTACACTTAAACGAACTAAGTGCACGTTAAAATACGTTTGTAGAAAAGATATAAAAGCAGTAAGTAACCACCCAAAATCAAAATATTGTAACTGTAACACAATTATTGCTCAATAAAAAGCATTTCAATAAATTTTAAATATACTGCGACGTATTAAAACAACAATGTAAAAATGCAACTGATTTTTACTGTTAAAGTGATATGTTCATTGTACATATATATATTTACATAGTACTATTATTTGTATAAAAACATCTTGAGTACGTAAACCGCCCAAAAGCCCATAAGAAAAACATTTTTCATAAAAGACGGTGCATTCTATAGTAAAACATATAAAATCGGGTTACCTACTGTAATTGAAACAATACGTCGTGACTCGCGTAAAAATACAAAAGCCAGTTTTATTGTTTTACATTAATGTTATGATCACGCATACGGTGCACGTATACGTTGAAATAAATACGCCGAACGGGTTAACAATCGGGATACGTTTGATGTATAATATCTACTCGTGTGCAACACATTCTCGCGTACGGCGAATACATTTATGTATATTAAAAAGTACCTGTACGTACAGTATATAATAATATATTTCGAGTACACATATATTCGTATAATATCGTAGTACCTACGTATAATAAATGTACGAACGTGATTATTATTCGTTTACTTGTGTGTGTGTGTGTGTGTGCAAACGTGCGTACGTGCGTGCAAGAGTGTATGTGCGAGTGTGTATATGCGTGAATGTGTACAGTAGTGGATCTAACGGAGCACAAGTGGAATTCAGTGAATTATTAAACCCTACTCGTATGGACTTGTCCCTTAAACAATTTTTAATTTTATCGGCATTTATGCTTCTCAATAAATCTTAACCGCTAATCGTCATAGGACTTGATTATAATAAACACTGTTTTATTAAAAATATTTACTAAAAAACCAAACCACCGATGCCCTGTCCTTGAGTAGTCATTTAATCAGGTTTTTGGGCTTTTTTCCGTAAACCTTCCACTGTGCATGTGTGTGTTTGTGTATTCTGCGTTTACCTGCGTGTCCTTTTCTATATTCTCGTCAGAAATCCACCCCGTGACGTGGCGCTCGGTGCACTGCCGGTTGCGTTGCGGAGTGTACGACGACGTAACGTACACACCACAGACGCGCGAGCGCGGCACTATACGTTTCCGTACGGCGAACTTAACGATTTACAGCGTGTATAGCAACCGAACGCTATAGCCAGACAACAACACATCACACGGAGTGTATATGTATAAGTAATGACTATTGGTTTGGTTACGGTAAAAACTATACACACACCGCATCAAACGTGCCACGGAGGTACACGATATTATACATTTATAGTATTAAATGTAATATTGTACCCCCCGAAAGTTTTGAAATGGCATTGCTGCGATGTAACTATATATATAAATATATATACCGAAAAAATACACGACTGCCTATGTGCACTCGTCCCCCCCCCACCGATGTACCGTGAAAAGTTCAAACCGAATTATCGACCCGGTGCGTTGAGTGGTTTATGTTTTACCGTACTCGAAAATATATAATTAAGTGATGATGGCTAATAATAGATATAATAAAACGTTATTATATAATATATCTACTGTTAAATACACGTTACGACTGACGACTGTCATACCATATATCTGGAAGCACAATAACTGTGTTATTAATTATTAATGACACGATCCAATATAAATATTACGTTATACTATGCCAAATATTTGAAGCAACCAAATTTGCGGCTAATACGAATGATCTATTTAAGGAGAAAAAAAAACTATTTAACATAACAATTCGATTAAGCCGAATTAAGATGTATACTTGCTTTGTAAATTATAATGTAAACACAATATTTTTTCCTTTTTCGATACATCACAGCGTATTAAGTACATAATAGATAAAGTTAAAAATAAAAATGCCTTTGTCACGTCTCAATCTCACCAGATTTTTTGAAGATATTTATTGAAATAATATATAGGTTAGGTTATATGATTACTTTATAAATATTTAGAATATAAATATTTAACAATATTTAACAGACAATATTTAACGAAAATAGCTGTTAAAGATTAAATCTTTTAATTTCATAGTAGAATTATACAATAAGTAAAATATCTAGCCAACCTAGGTACTCAACTATTGCACTTTTGGGTTCCATGATTTTGTTTGCATTATTTATACTTCAATTACTTTGTACACGAATGAAAATTAAATCGTATACAAATCGTCAAAAACCGACCAATAGCTTTTAAAATATTACTCCTCAGTTGAGACCTCAAATTCAAAAGATATAATAAACGACAGGATTTTAACATTGAAATTGTTGTGCTTTGTAATTACATTTAAAGTCCCTTCGACTACATTGGACTTAATGAAAATATACTTATACATTTACCGTGGATTCAATTATTATATGTAACCAGCATAAATACTAATAAATATATGCTACACTAAAATAAATTATTAATAAGTATTTTAAAAATCAATAGAATTAAGAATATTAAAATTAATTATTGAAGTAAATCATCGCAATATAAAAACTAATACTAGATAATTGAAAACCCATATTTATTGTCATGCTTTTCTTATTTTATAAATTGATATACAAATTAAAAAAAAAAATAAGAGTCATAAAACATACCTTTTGAACGAATATTTGCTATAAGATACAAATTTTTATTAATGAATTGACTCTTAATATATTTTTGGGTTTTTTTGATGAAATCTAACGTTTCCTCACGCTTATACTTTAATGAAAATGAGTTGTGTAACAAAGAAAACAATAATTGCTCAAAAAACAAATTCACTCAATATGCTTAACCAGCGATCAATGTAACATGAATTACAGCTAGGCTCACGAAGGGCGGTTCCCGCGAGACATATTAACTATGCAAATCGGACAACTCCCACATTACTTGTATTATATTATTTTCATTATTAAAAACAGATTGAATTAAATTACTTTAACCAACTATAAAAATACCGACTAAAAATAAATTGAGGAAGTAAATTCGATCAGGAAGAAAAAAATACATATTACCTATTACACTCATTATTCTATGTAGAAACGCGAAATGTAAAATGTTATAAATAATATCTAGAAAATCTATTAAAACTATTTAGTTTTATCTTAGTAAAAATGTCATCTAAATAAAAAATGATTATTTATACAAACAATCGTTTGTGTTCCAAATTTTTACTAATTTTTATAATAGGTAAATTATCTCTTTAAATTACATTTAACTCATATCCTTATAGTTCTACTACGGATAAAATATTGGTGTTCGATTGAAATATTTCTTCCAACTAAATCATATACTTATTCATATTATTGTAAAATGTACATAATTAATATGAGTATAATTTAATTAGTTTGCATGAATAGAAATTTACCTATAGCGTTCGGTACCTACTAATAGTAACCTTTGTAAACTTAGTAATAAGTTTCTGTTTTCCATGACAACGTAGAAAAAAATTCGTTTTCTATTCTTCAATATAATAGATTTATAAACTATGTACCTATATATTTTATATGGATAAAAAAAGGTACGGACTAGTGGAATAGATTGTGGTTTAAGATTTGAAATCACTTAAAACAATAAAAAAAAATTTCAGTTTTCCCATTATATTTTCTTATCAAATACAATGTAAAAATACTAAAATTGCAATACATTAATGTAATATATCGTTCTTAAGCTAATATCGTCATATTTCTAAAAAGATATAACGGGCAAATATATTAACAATTTTCAAGTCAAGGAGGTGCATAAATAATTACGAATGTCTTAAATACAAGTACATCCCCACTGGATTTAGGTACTAATGATTTATTGGTTGTCGTTAAGCTATTAATGTTTCATTAACGTAGGGCCATAGAAACTATTTCCTTTACAGCATGGTATAATAAATATTTAGGTACACTTGGCCATTCCATGTTAACAGCGACGAATCTACCTCCTCGGGTGATAAAAACCGCAAGAAAAAACTTATATTTTATTTACATTTATTTCTAACTATTTTTGTTCGTGTATTTTTATTTTGAATTAAGCTTTTCTTATGAATTAATTTTTATAATCATTACAATAATAGGATATACCTTATACTGTTCATTTTAAATTTTCTTAATCGTTTCAATCATGGACTTGTCGAAGAGTTCGTCCAGAAACAGCATGGACTACTACATCAAAAGACAAAAAAACAATGAAGCCGCCAAGAACAGCAGAATAAAGAAAAAAGAACATGAAATTGAAATTGCCAAGAAGAAACAAAAACTTGAGGTGACTTATGTTAAACTTCAGAAACAAATCAATCATATGCGATCAGTCCGCGCTTAAAAATAAAATTTATCAAAGGTAAAACTCAATTTTTTATTAAATACGTAAAAAAAAATATATAATTTTAAATTTTTATTTATATTATTAATAACTTTTTTTATATATACGAATTAAAAAAAATTAGATTTTAAATTATTAAAACAAATTAACAAATGCAAAAATAAGCCTTGGTTATTTTTTGCTATTGTATATTATAAATTATATTTATTTATATAAAAAATGATTTAGTTAATAGAAACCGCGTGATATAATTTTATTTTAAAACAAAAATTTCAATATTTTATAATCGTAATAATATAACCGGACTAATAAATTTTACTAAAATAATTAAAATATAGGTAAAGAAAACAGAGCATATTAAATGTTTAATTAAAAACAATAATTTTTTTATAAGGCTTTACTGCATAAAAAATAGTTTAATAATATCATCTAGCTAAGCTAGGGTTAGCTCAAATGTTTAATAAAAATATTGCCATTTCAATGTTTCTATTTAAATTTAAGTTTCTTTTCAATCTGGTTGAAAAATAAATTTTATAAAACAATTGTTTTACGATTTAGTGGAAAATAAATAAATGAAAAGAATAATTAATTTTTATCAATTTTAAATTTAAAATAAATCTTTATTATTGTGATCCGTACCTGTAACCAATTTATTAAATTTATTGTTCTTTATAAATATTTATATATTTATAAATAAATAAATGTTTATTAGTCACGATTTTATTGGCAAATTATTTATAATGCTTGAAATACTGGAGTTAACGCAAATTTGGGATGATTTTAAATGTATGTTTTACCATGCATTATATTAATACACACATAGATACAATATTAAATAATAAATTGTTTGTACTAGTATGTATAGTATGTTAAAAAATTGGAATATCAGTCACCATAACTCATTATCTACTCGTAGTATGAATATTTAAGTAGTTTATTAATGTAGTACTTAGATATTGGCCTATTTTTTAATTAAATAATAAAAATTTCAAAATAGTCATTGAATATAGTTGCATTCAAATATTTAAAAAAAAAAATGTATTTGATTAAGTTTTCGATGAATAAAAGCAATTCTTAGTTTAAAAATAATGGATATTTTATAATAATAATGGTCGGACTTGATGTAGTGCTGTCGGAACGGATTTTTAAAAAATTGGTAGAAAAAAATGGACAGCTTGCTCATCAGACTTCCTATAAATAAATTTTTAATTTTGTATCCTTCAAATTTTCGAGAACTTTTTGGGGCCATAATTATAGTGTGCGTAAGGTTTTCTAAACCAGCGGTTCTCAACCTTTTTGAGGCCGCAACTCCCTAAAATGTCATTAAAATTTTGAGAGACCATTTACTATGATTAGGTATATTAAAAAGTAGTGATAAATTAACATGATTTATGTAACGTTTTTATTGAAAATCCTAATCATTTATCAACTGTAATTCTTAACAATCACTGATAATATTTACAAAAACATCTCTTTAGTTATTTTATATAATAGCGACTCACCTCTAAGGGGGTCACAAACCTCAGTTTAAAAATCGCTGTTCTAAACGGTACTAAGATTTTGAACTTGTATAATTGAATTGTTTATAGCAATTCAAGATAAACATTTTGAACAGTTGTGAAAATAAATACAAATATTACAATACCACACGAAATATCAACAAAAAGTTATTTGTGAATTGAAGAGTCAATGAGAATAACGAATTATAACGAAATTAGTATACAAGATGAAAGTTTAATTTTCAACATTTTAATTTTTATTGTAGTTATGAAATTTAAAAACTACGGTTTTTCTTTTAATTAATTGTAAAATTAAAGCACAGATGAGTTTAAAATGTCTTCTTCTTTTTCACCTTCGCCTTTCTTCCAACTATTTAGAGTCGGCCACCTTTGTCCTAAACCTCCACTCGTCTCGATTTTCTACACCTCTTATGCACACACCAACAGCTCTCATATCATTCTCAATCGTATCCAACCATCTCTTTTTTAGTCTTTATCGTCCTATTTTTCCTTCAATATTCTTTTCCATAACCACTCCTACTGCTTTGGTTTCCTTTAGCCTCATCACATGCTCAAACAAACTCAGTCTATGTTCTCTCATATATACACTATAGTCGTTATACCAATACTACCATAGGCGCAACTAGGGACATTAATAAAAAAATTAAAACATTAATAGCGAAAAGAAATTATTTTCGTTAGTGGGTATATATTTATAATATAATAATACTAGATAATCAATAATATAATTTTGTATTATTGCGTCTTGGATCACGTAATAAAGATAAGCCGTGGTTAAACCTAACCACTGTCAAGTTTTATATATATTATATATATATTGTAATCATAGCATAGTGTGATGATGTATTTTATATACTTACACAAGTTTAGGGAAAATATCAAATTTTAATTTTATTTTATATAGTATTTTAATTTTAATGTTATTTTAATGTTAATTATTACTTATTATATTATAAAGATATATCCAAGTATATTTCTTAATTTTCGCTATTAATATTTTCGCTGTTAAAATATTTCGCGATTTTTATTTTCACGATTTTAATTGGCACCCATTTAACTCACAATAGTATCACATACAAAAAAAGACACATTGCAGTAAATTAAACTTGGCTCAGAATCTAAAATATATTAAAAAGGTATATAAGAGTAGGGGTAACCTACAGGTTATTTTAAGTTTTGGTAGGAGGACTGTAGCCCCCCCCCAAATTTTTTATCCTAGTTGCGCCTATGAATAATGCCTCTCACATATTCGTTCCTCATTTTATCTTTTCTTGTCACTCCACTCATCCATCTAAGCATTTTCGTATCCGCAACTTCATCCATTACCACAGAGAAAAAATGAGGGCTTAGAGCCAACCTCTGATGCACATCGACTCTTATAGTAAAATCTTCTGTTACCTACTCCACACAAACTCTTCATTTAAATGAGTTTAAAATATACTTTCATAAATACCATATTCAGGTATTTAGGTGATAATAATGTATGTGTATATGTATATACTGATTAACTCAAATAGAGTTTATGACAACATAAATATGAACATATTCTATCTTAAATACTAAAATTTTTGATAGGTAATATTTTTTATAAAAATTTAAAAGTATAAAAATTAACCTTAATTTATGTACTTACCTATATTTTATCTGATAACTTATGAAAATGTTAATTTAAAATGTAATTGTTTATAATAATGTAAGTGAATATTAAATTAATTGGTATCTTTATTATAATAATAAAAAATATCTGAAATATACTTACTTTAATAATTGGTTGATTAATTTGGCAACAGGTACATACTACATAAATAATTTATGTACCCTACCTATTTTATGAAATCTATTGGTTAGCTGACACCATTTCAACAAATAAAACTAATAGGTATTATAATAAAATAATATTATAACTATAGTAAATGTTTAATAAGTATCCAACTTAACTTGCAATCAATATATTCTAGTAAATTAATTAATTAATTTTGATTTAATTTAAATTTCGTTAAATACCTAATTTTAATTGAATGTTATTTATTTATTTCAGAATAACAAATTCTTTGTTCATCAGCAATTTCAAGTAATCTCGGAACATTACAAGAAAGCTCATAAAAATATCTCATATTCAAGTGTTAATTTTTTTTTCGTATTAATTATATATGTGTAAAAAACTGTCAAAATTATATCGATCTTAATGAATTATTTGTATTAACGTTTCTAAAATTAAATAATTTTTTTATATAATTACATTTGACTTATTTTTCGAACAGGAATAGTACCACAGTATTCATACATTTTTTGAAAGTGAGAGATAACTAAAATAATATGGCATAGATTGAAAACTAGAATGTTAATGTTTAGAAAAACCTAAAGATGCCATTAAATACATATTTACCTAGTATAAACTACATTATAACTAATAAGTTAAGAATATTTCTATATAAATTATAATTTTTCAACATATAATATCATAAATTATTAAGAAACGTCTACCTACCTAAAGTTAATAAGTAACATTAATTAAATTGAAGATTTCAAATGATAAAATCTATCCTTAAAATGTAATAAATAAATTCAAGTAGGTACCAAATAAACAAGTATTAAATGGTAACAATAGTATAAAAAATGTACCTATATCATATAACTGATTCGTTAATACTGATAATTATTTACAAAATATTAAACTATCAATGTAAGTAGATATTAAATAAATTAAAACATTAACTTTGGATATAAATAAAGTCTTTTATAATAATATTTTTCTTATTAGATATGTGAATAAATACTATTTCTTTATTTTAAATTGAAAATATATTAATTAAAATAACAACCTTTAAAATCAATTAATTGTTGAGCTGTAATATCTAATAAGAAAAATAAGCAATCAACACCAAAATAAAACTATAATTATAATTTATAATATGTATATAATAGTATAAATATAATTTATAACAAGACATTTTTTTTCTTCTAATATGTATGAATGAATATTATTATTATTTTTATAATGGATTTGGATTAATTTTTAGAAATTATTAGGCGATTCTAGCAAAAATATAATTTGTAATGTAAATGTAAAATGTAAAAGTAAATGTAACCTATCTCTTACAAATTAAGATAAGAAATGTTTGTATTTTTATTTTCAAAAGAATTTTATAAAATTTTAGTTATTATTTATATTATCAGATATTTTTAACAATTATTCAATAAATGACATACTAAATTTAAAATATTTTCTTAATATAAATAACCTTAAAAATTCAAACTTCAATAAAATTATATTTAAATTTTATCATATGTTTATTTAAGACTTTAAAAAATAAATAAATAACTGAAGTAGTTTTAAAAACTTCAAGAACATTTTTTTTTTTTTTTGCTTTCGAATCATTTATTAATTTAATGATCATTCATTTTTATAGGTTTTTTTTTTAATCTAAATAAGATTCATTATAATATATTTATTACACTTAAGGTGTGATTCTTTAGGACAAGATTGTAGAAACGTGACTCGTGCAGCTGACGCAGTGCGACTGAAATTTTGGTCGCACAGTTCAATTATGGATTCCCTACAATACAAAATTCGACGCACTACACACCTTAGTTTTTATTATAAAACCAGACATGTTACTAAGTCAGAAATAAAATTCTCATCAAAATTCTTCTTTTAGAAGAAATCAACGGAAAAGAAACAATAATCAAACATGCAACTTAACTATGTAAAATATGCAATACAAGGAAAACCCACAATTTGTTTCTTACTAGAATAATTGAAGGATTTTACAGCATTTTGGTCAACAGTCAAGTGGCCGGTGCGTTTTAACTGTCGCAAGCGTTCGTTGCATGCAGCTGTGGTGGTGTAGGAAATCTATTTTATATGAAAATAGTAAAACCAGTACTGTCAGCCATACAAGTCACGTCCTAAAGAATCATACCTTTAAGGTATTTTTTAAACAATTATTCAACATAAACATAAGAATAAAAAAGAAATGTAAGACTATATTATATTTTTCTTTGAATACAAGCTTTTACTTTAAAATAATATAAAATAAAATAAAATAATAGTTATTAAACAATGTACTAATGTAAACTCCACTAGTTTTGACAATTCTTTTCATCAGTTATAAAATTCCTGGTCCATTTGTTTCGATCTGAAAAATAGCAACAAAGGTTTAAAACATTTTTATTTGAAACCACTCATATGTTTTAATTAATTTAAGTCTAAAATACAAAATAATATAATATAGATATAATATATAGTATATATATATATATATATATATATATATATATATATATAGGATATTATCATGTAATTCAATTAATCTAAAGAAATAAATGTATATATATATATTATTTATTTTGGTTATATATTATCTTTATAAAATTTGTTTTAAACCATCAATTATTATGAATATTTAAGTACAATATTATATTTAGTTTTAATTATTATAGATCAATAAAATAATAAGTTTAACCATCTTAGAAGATAATAAAATAATTATACCAGATATTTAGTACTTTCAAATATTAAATTATAAAACAAATTAATATAGTGATGAAATTGTGATGCTTATATTTCAATTGAATTTCTTATTTTATTAATAAATAAACTGAAAATTTCTGTAGCAGAATAAAATAACTAATATAAATTATAATATATTTCAAAAATAAATAGTTAGATTATATTAGTAAATATATTATAAAACACATAAATTATAGAATAATTGATTTCTATAGCAAACATTATTATGTATTGGGCGTATATAAGATCATAAACTAAAAATTATTCATTAATTTTATTTCTATTTAAATTATTACACTGAATTCAAGAATATATTAAATCAATTAAGTGCTATGATTTAACAGATACAATTGTTTAGGGTAACCTAAGTAATTATCATATTTTTAAATAAATAATTTTATGTTCATAAGGCAGTAGTCGTTAAAGTAATTTACTCAAAAACTTAAAATTAACAACAAATGATTATTGTTTAATAATACAATTTTAAATAGACTTGAAAATTATATAAAGAGGATAAAACAGTTCATAATATTATTAAAATATATATATTAATAATTTAAAATGCTCTATTTACTACATAAAAATTATTTGATTTTTTTAAGATTTATAAACTTTAGTTAATGTTATCTTCAAGTTATAATGATTTATTAATCAAACCTGAAAACTTTTAAATTATCATAATTCAGTATGGGACCAGGGTAAAAAAACAAATTTACAAACGAACAAAGGAATAAATATTTTATTAAATAATTTTTTAAAGGTTTTTTTTTGTTTAAAAAAAAATTTAAATCAAAACAAAATCTTATTCATTTTATAAAATTCAATGCATAAAAAAATGAATAGAACCAAAAACAATGATTCTATATAAAATATCAAAGCAAATTTAGTAATGGTTTATATCTATTAAGTGTTAAGTTAATATTATGTAATATGTTTCAATAGTCCGTAAATAGGATCATAAATTCTAATATTTTAAGTTGGTAAATACATACATTTTCTATTTCTTTTATCAAGAAAAGTTAGTAAGAAAAAAATTATATTAGTATAAAAAAACTAATTTTGAACAACCTTTTAAAATTAATCAATGATTTTTGATAAAACAATACGTTCTATTTTGTTTTAGATTTCCATGATTTCATAAATACAGCTGGTTTCTTATTTTCTTATTCATTTTCACACTTCATTAGACATAATTCACTTCAGGTAATGATGACCTATAACAATTTAATAAATAAAGTAGAAAATAGATTTAATATTACATATAAAAATGTATATTCAATTATAACATCACTGTAGTATATTTTTATTCATATATGACAAAACAAATATTGAATATTATATTATAGTTCTAGGCAATACCTATGAATTATAATTATATGAACAACCAAGATGATATGTACAATTTACAACTTTTAATGAAAATCATAATGGCAGAGTCGTTTTAATTTATCTATTAATCGTGTAAAATGAAATTAATTGCCTCTAAAACATAATCATTTAAGTAAAATAGCTTTGTAAACAATAAGTTCTTTTAAATATTTTGATTTTAATACACTAAAAGTATTTGTTCATAGCTTTCTTAGAATATTTAAAAATCTTCAGACAAAACATAGATAGTATTGTTCTAAATAATTTGTATAATATAATATGATTCTTTAATGTTATTTTGTTAACCTAGTTGTTTTACAATATGTAAAAATATGAAGAACAGCATTACAATAGTACTCATATGTTAAATGTAAACAACAAATTTCATTGAAGAGCACTTAATAGATGACTTATGCTTGAAAATATTATTTTCTATATTTATTCCAATAATATTAATGTGATAATTTTAATATGATTAATTTTTGCATGAATTATACTTTTTATGTATTTTATTCACAAATATATACCTATTGTATATTATATAATGCTTAAATAAATGGTTTATTAGTATAATTAAAATATCTATTTACTAACCTTAATATTAAGTATAAAGATTATACTTGAACAATTTTATTTGAAGTGTAATTCTTCCACTTGACTATTTTATTGATTATCAACAATAACATTTGATATATAAGTCAGTAGTCTCTTATTCATGTAATATACCTGAAAATTCAATATCTATAAAAATATTTAAAGTGCTTATTTTACAAATATAACTTAATATTTTGTCCCTATCAGAAGAAATATACCAACTTGAAATTTAATAGATATATTTTAAAATATTTAGTTTAATTTGTTATAGATAAAACTATTTAGTTAAATAAGTTTAAAAAAAAAAAAAATAGAAAAATAGTGAGCATGAACTCCCATGATCAAATAATTTACAAATCTAATAACAATAAATAAATCTAAAAAACCTGTAATTTTTCTATGTTCCTTAAAACACATTGTAAAATACACAAGTAGACACCAACTTAAAAAATAGACAGTAATTTTTAAATAATAGGATATACTAAGTTCAAACAATTTAAAATATTAATTAGGCACTTAAATTTAACTAACATAAAACAGGTAATTAATTGTAATTTCGAAAATGGTCAAACAAAATAAATTAATAAATTAAACTTGTTATTCCAAATAACAAAAAATTACCTAATTTTAATCTGTAAATTATGGTGATTGTTGAAATAAGTAGGTAACTAGAATATTTTCATAATTTACTGCTATATATATTAATAAAAGAATTCTTTGTTTTTGAAGAGAAAGTAATAGATCCATCATTTCAATATTCTATGAATTTAACGAAAATAATTACAAACTAAATACCTATTACAAATTAAGGTGAATTATCGGAGCTCTAATTTTCAGTCTTATCACGGACCAACGTTATCACTTATCAGTCAAAAACAGTTGAATTATTGAATTGTATTGAAGTATTTGACAGTATTTTAGCAATTTTATTGATTGTGAACTGTAAAATTTGAAGAAAAGAGTGTGAAAAATGTTTGTTATTTTAAGTAGAACTATAAAGTTTCGAGTTTTACATTTATTTAAAGTTCTTTTTTTGAGCAGAAATTTTTTTTAGGGTGTTATTAAATGTTCCTACTAATACACTAAATTTGAAATCGTTGGTTTATTTCTACCTACTGATAAACCAAGGAAAAATAAATAATCAATAAAACCATTTATAATAATAATTGTCTAAATAAATATATATTATTATATTAATTAAATAATTAATATTATTATTATATGTATGTATATTTAGTGGTACATCATAGATATCACTAATTTCATGAATATGATCATAATACGATTTTGAGTTGGCAATCTAGTTTGTGTTTGCACAATTTTAGAAAACTTTGGCTGTTTTTTTCAATTATTTAGTCAGAAAAATCAAAATAGTTAAATTTATGTTGATGAACTGTCATTAAAACTTTTATTTTTAATTTGATGTTACGTTATTACAGACTTGAATTGAATTCAGTATTAGTTGGACTTCAAAGTTGTCAAATTGCAATAAGAAATTAAAAAATAGTGTTGTTAAAAATTGTAAAGGTGTTAAAATATTAACCTGATAAAATTATACAACTTTGCCTCTATTAATCAAATAGATTATGTCTATAATCACCTATCAAAATAAAATATAATACCATCTAATAGAACGTTAAGATATAAATATTAAATTATTAAAATTAATAAATAAAACTATCTTGGATCCCTATGAGGTAAATGTTTTATCAACCATTGACTCTATATGTATTTCGTGTCTTTGATAAAATATTTTATTATGCAACAGTTAAATTTCCACTATTAATACATTATTTTTATTTATATTTTCTAAGTTGTAATTTACTCGACTAAAACAAAATTAAAATGTCCTAATGAATATATTAAATAATCCTATATTATGTAATACGATATATTCAGGGGCGGACTGAAAACGTACTTCGGCCCGGGTGCAGAAGATTTCAGCGGCCCACATTTTTTTTGTATGATCAAAAAATTTGCAGCTCGCTATGCTCGCTCATCATAGGCTAAGATCTCCTAAAAGAGTGTTTAGCACCGCCAATATATTCTAGAAATAAATAAAACTTATCATAATTCATAATATTATATTATATCGTTTTTACATCGTTTTATTTTAATACTTAAAATCTTTTATGTCTATATTTAGATATTACTGAGACAACAATTTATCAGGTACTTATTTTTCAGATAACTAATAATTAGGGCGCGGATTTTTATGTAATTACATACTTTTATTGAATGTGATTTTCTCAATTCTAATTAAAAATAAGCACGTTTTATAACACCCTGAATAATATGAGACCTTTTTTATTTTACATATTTTCACATATTTTGATGTAAATACATATTTTTAAATATTTCATTAGTATTTACATATTTTGTAAATATTTCACATTTTCATACCGTTTCAATATAGTTTTTATTTCATTTACAATTATTATATTATAATTAAATGAAAGAAGATATTTCAAATCTAGATTCAGATACTACAATTGCTATTTCTTCTGATATTATGTAAATTAATAACTTGCAAAATAATATAGCAAATATTTCCAAAAAATGTTTTAAATTTTATTATTCTACTTAGCATATTAGCTAATTAGCATTTAATTTTGCATGAAAACTCCCATTTTTTGTCGCATCGTGGCCTGACGACGACGATGACGATAATGATATTTTACCCCCCCCCCACAAAAAATTTAAAAATAAACCTCTGCCTGTATGGCTTACTATCAAATATTTAGTATACCTAGAATCGATTAAAAAAAGTTGATACATCAGTAATTGTTAAATAACTAAATATAATGACTTATATTTTTCGGTTGAAAAACTAATAATTAATATTAAAATAATAATTTATCATTGTTTTAAATTATATACCAAACCTATAATTTAAAAAAAAAATCAATTTTCATTTAAATAATAAATTATAATTGAAAACTTTATAGTTATAACGTATTAAAATATGAGGATTTTTAAATGTATTAAAATAGAAAAAAATAAATACCTAATTTTTATTGTAAACTCACAAAAGTTTTCAAGTTTTCACAAAAATCTTGGTCAAAATATATATATATATATTATTAAATTTATTAAAATACAAATTATTCATGAAAAAGTAATAAATTTGCTTATTATAAATGTCCATTTGCAATAGAAATGGTAAATAACGAGTTAAACATAAATGATAGAATATCGATATAAGAGAAAAAAATTATAAATTTTAAAATGTTTGGTGTTCGATTTAAGAAAAAATAGAAAATACTACTGTTCTATAAAATGCCCGTTTTAATAAAATTATATGAAACTAAATAAAATGGAACTTGGTTATTTTTGTAAAATTGACTTAAATTACTAGGTAATCTAAATAAAATATATATAAAAAGGATGTTTAAAACAGCAATAAATTTATAATAATATATAAATAAGCATTACCAATTATAATTTATAAATATGCTTTCTGAAAATACGTCGGATATTGTCGGCGCGGAACCCGTATAGCTTGCCTCATCAAAAATAATTTCGGTGAACACCGATGAAATATTAGTAGTAATACACCATAATATGGTGTGTATATTATATAAGTTATAAATTCACAATAAATACATATTTTACGTGGTATGTGATTTTATTGTTTTATACAACAAATATGATTGCTTTATTTATAAGTTATGAGTTATGAGAATTATAAAAAGAAAATATCGTTAAAAGCAGGGATGTATTGGTACGTATACCCATCAGCAGATTTTCGACGTATACCTAATGTAAAATATTATTTTACAGGTTACGCTTCTAAAATAACTCAAAAAAAAAAAAAATAATAATAATTTAATAGTTCATTGGAAATAATTATTATGAACTATGAAAATGATTAAAATATTTATCTGTTGAAGATTACAGTGTACGCTGTGTTTAATATATTTTGTAAATTGTAGTGAATAACATTGAATAAAATAGTATGGAATGTGAACATTCAGCCCATGATTCTTAAATCTGCATCATGTAATTTATAACGCGCTGCAAATGTATATCTTGTGGTATTATATATTATAATCTTAATAGAAGTTATAAACATGTAGTTACGAAGTATTAATTAATTTTTTTCGAACGTATCAAGAAAAAAAAATGTCGAGCGAAGCAAGAAAATTTATTTTAGGATTAATATCCACATTTTTTTTAGTGCGTATACCCACAAATATATTATTACACAAATATATATTTACTAATACACCACTGGTTAAAGGTAATATATATAATGTAATACATATTTAAAATATGTAATGTTATTTTACATAATATTGATTGCTAAATACTCTACATTTGAAAACGTTTCAAATTTTACATTAATTTAAATAACGCAAAACGCTAAATTGCTTATAACGTTTAAATGTCTCATAACAGTAAACAATATGTATTATTTTGATTTAAGCACTGGTCCATACTTAGTGAAAAATCAAATAAATCATAAGCGAAACTTTCAAAATACAGATAAGTGTTAAAAAATAATTATACAAACGTCCATTCTAAGTGGTTCCGAAATTGGATTAAAAAAAAAAAAAACCATAAATATTAAGAATTCACCTGATTTAAATATTACTAACAATTTTATTTGTACATTTTGAGCCTGAATTAAAGAAAACATTCCAGTCCCCCCCCCTAGAAGTAAGTCAAAATACGCCCCTCGGTTTAGGATATTTCGCCGCCAATTATTCCCGTACATTATAAACAATCACACATGTGAGTTCATATACTCTTTACTGAATAACGATCGATCCCCTCCATCCATTTCTCCATTTCTATTGACGATTAAAACATAAAAACCCTCTCTCCAGGTTAGTTTTTTCGGTCCCTTTATTATTTAATACGGAACATGTATGAAGGTTGTTTGCAAAATCTATGGTTTAAATAAATTGTATTTCTTTTTTTTCAGTATGTAATAATAAAAAAAATAAAAAATGATTTGTGACTTGAAATAGATTTACGACCCAAAACCATAGAGGTAATGGTGAATCAAAAGGTGCCTCTCGTCCATTTTAGTTATTTTTGTTACAAGTAACATGGGTTGGAAAATTGTTTTTGTTTTCGAAGTTTGCGTGATTTTCAAAAATTGATTCGCAACTCAAACAAAATAAATGAGCTGACCTATAATAATATTATACTTTGAGAAGTTATACGCTTTCATTAAAAATAAGTGCTTTTAAAGTTTCAAGTACCTAGTCCATCGGAAATCTCAAATTGGCGTTTTAAAAAAGCATTTTCACTGACCAGTCAGGTGTTTAAATTGTTCAGATATTTATTGACATTTATTGATTTTCGATTCTAATATTTTTGATCTTGGATATTCCAATGTGTATTTTTTTATTGACTTCATAACCTAATATAATATATATATATAATTTTGAAACATCCCTCTTAATCATTTTCTGGGCACGGGCCTGCTATGGAGTGTTCGAATTCTGTATGTTATTAATTATGGTGCCAAACATTAAAATTACCTATGCTATATTATTATTAGAACAATTTTTTCAACATTTAAAAATATATGTATGTACCTCCTATATCATAATAAACTAATAACTTTAATACTACTGTAATATAATTTGGCAGATTAATTACAATATTATTTTAAAACATACGCTGGCTTTACGCTAACTAATATAGTAATAATATTATACTACATGCAGGCCCGTATTTAGGGGGGGGGGCGTATTTACGGGTAGGCACATGCCCGGGGGTGTCAAATCTCAGGGGTGGCAAAATATTTTAGCAAAATTAATTTTAAAAATGATGTAGGTATCTAACGAAAAAAAAAAAAAATAAAACAATAAAAAAAAGAAAATAGTATGTTTTATTATGTTATAATTTTTAAATGAAAACAAAATTGTATTTTTATTATGTTATAATTTGTTTAATTTGTTAATTAAAAAAAAATATTAAACGATTTTCATTTATAAGTTATATTTTAATATTAAAGAATCTTGATTATGGACGAAATAATAAGTGTTAGATTATTATTTTTTTTTTTTTTTTTTTGAGGGAAGGGGACAAAAATTATATGCCCGGGGCATCACATTTTTAAATACGGGCTTGACTATATTCAATGCATATTATACATGCATGGTATTTTATTATTAATTATAAAATTTATAAAGTTTAAGCCCAAAAATACATATGTACAGTTCTCGAATTATCAAAGAAAAGAAGGTGGACACAATAGTGTAAATAAAACCTGAGTACCCAAAAGTGTCATCTATTCTTAAAACCACACACATTTAATAGGTTGAAATAATTAACGTCATAATATATATATATATATATATATATATATATATATATATATATATCTGAAGTGAAGAAATCAAGTTCATACGATCGTCATTAAAAATTCTTCCCAACAGTTAAACAAGTACTCCTAAAAATAAATAAAATTTAATTAATAATTAAAAATATTACTATTATGTATTTACTAATTTGTTTTTGCTATTCAATTGGACAAACAATATTTTGCACTCAGGTACTGGTTTACACACGTCACTGATGACATTTTTCAGCACCATTTGTAGTTCTAATAGTTATATTTTCATTGATTGAATGGGTTCAAATTTTCATCGGAAACTGTCCTTTGATGTAATTATCAAAAATGTATTTTCTGAATGCAGTGCATACATCTTATGGTGAACTTCTTGACATTAAATCATCAAATGCATCAGTAACTTTATGCGCCGGTAAAAATGGTAATCCAAAACATACTTAAATCCACTGACTTATTTTATTTTGATTATCATGAAATGGTCGTCGAAGGTTATTGATTGATTGGATTTTCCGCCATAAAGTTCGACCAAAATGGAATCTACAACCTTTGACCTTTACTCTAATAAATATTTTGTATACAACATTATGACTTTCTAGGTATCTCAAAATCAAAATTAATAATGTTAATATTTACAACTTGTCCTTATTCCACACTATTGTTGGGAAAAATCCAGATTTACCGAAGTTTGAAAATCCGGATTCATGAAATTCGAAATCCGTAATCCGGATTTGGAG